GCGGAGGAGAAGACATTGTCTCTGCCTCCCACCTGCCATGATCTAGCTGGGGATGAAAGCGGGCTTATGAAAGGAAGGAAGAATACACATGTACCCACCCACTGTGAGCGTCAAGGAAGGATTTCCAGGACGACGAGCCCCAGATATAGAAGAGAAAGCTGAGAGATGGGATGGAAACAGCACTAGACGGAGAGTCTGGGGACTTGGATTCCAAGCCCTGGCTTTGCCGCCTGCGTGCTGTGGATGTTGGGCAAGGCTCCTCACCCGCCTCACTCAGGGGCGTTCCTGAGGCTCTGAAAGCCCCCGGCTCAGGTCTGCGCTGTGGTGATTTCAGTGGGGGTGGAGCTAGACAGGAAAGGAGGCTGAAGGGAGCGCTGGACAGGCTCATGAGGAGGGGAGGGTCACGGACACAGAAGAGGGAAATGGCATTGCATGCTGAGAGGTTGGCCAAGGCAGGCAAAGAAAAGAAGCAATTACTAGCCAGAGACAGCGAGCTCATCTCTTCTTAAAAGCTTGGTAAGGACTAGATTTGGCACAGTCCACAATAAGGAGCATCTGTAGGTTCTTTTAGGGTCTCTGGCTGTCCAGGATAGACATGGCCTTAACCAAGAGACTCCTCTGCCCAGAGGCGAAAGCTCCCAGAGGCCACTCCTGGGAGTCATTGCTGCACTGGGCTCCCTTCCTTGGCTGTGGCCTCCTCTGGCTTTGGAAAGAGTCCAGCAGCAAATCCTTCCTGGAGGGCAGAGGGGTGGAAAAGAGGTGGTTTTATCCCGGACCTGGAGATCCTCAGACCTTTGGGGGACCATCGGGTTCTTCCTTCTTAACTCCCACCTGCTTGCCACCCCCAGTCCCACCTCCTGCCTTGTTCAGAAACATGTGCAAGCCATGGAGAACAGCAGGTGCTATAAATCTGTGTCCCAGGGTCCCAACGTGACATTGCTTCCCCGATCACCACAGCCAGGGACACAGTCAAGAACTCTGGTGACCATTACCTCGTATCTGACTTACAGTCCTCAGCCCCCTTGGTGCCTGAGACTTCCAAATTCCAGGGTTCTTCCCCTTCTCCAAGCCTATCTAATCCCCCACATCAGGGTCAGCAAACTTCCCCTGTGAAGGACCAGATAGTAAATACTTTAGGCTTTGCAGGCCATATGGTCTCTGTTACAGCTATTCAAGTCTGCTGCTGTGGTGCGAATGGGCATGGCCGTGCTCCAATAAAACTCTACTTAGGGATGCTGAAGTTTGAATTTCATATAGCTTTCATGTGTCACAAAATAGTATTCCTCTTTTGATTTTTTCCCAACCATTGTTAGCTCGTGAGCTATACAAAAACAAGTGGCGGGCTGTACTTGGCCCACAGGCCATAGTTTGCCAACCCCTGACCTAAGTGTTCGCAGCTCGTTCAGCCAAACTTAGACGGTCCAAGCCTTTCAGTGATCAGGCTTTTCGGGCTAATCCAGGTGGTTTGTCTTGTCCTCTAAGGATGACAACAGCTTTAAGCTCCCCTAAAGTAACCTTGCTCTTTCAACTTTACTCTCTCTTACAAAGCAGTTTGATTGGAGAATGCTGGAAAGACCCCCTCCCCCCATCCACCCAGTGTCCTGTGCAAAGGTGTTCTCTTTCAACTCTAAACTCGCTTCCCCGGGCCCAGTACATTTCCACTCATTCTCTCTTCCAGCTATGCACAGCTGGGCCCGGCCCAAGCCTCCCAGCCTTTGCCGGCCAGGGAGGCCTCATCACTCCTTTCTTGTTCAATTCTCTACCCCGTTGCCAGAGTTCCAGAGCCAATGCCCTTTCTCTAAAAGGAGACCTGATACACAGGGAAAGCCAGGAAGAGGTGAGCCAGAAGCGAACTCCAGGAGAAGGGGGTTTAACGCTGGGCTTGAGGCAGGGCAACGGACAGGGAGGGGAAGACGGAGGAGAGAGGAGAGGCGTTCCAGACAGAAGCAGGAGACGGTGAGCTGTGGGCAGGCCACAGCAGGGGAGTGTCTGCACACGGAGCCCACATGAAGTGAGAGCAATGAGACGGGGGAATTGGTCAGGGTGGGACTTAGGGGACGGGTTGGCCTGCTAGACCCCAAGAACCCTGATTCAGAGTAGCTTGAGATAACGTAATGACATAGGAGAACTCATGGGTTTCGACTTCCAGCCCTCATTTCTAACCTCAGCCCTGCACTCTCTATTCCTTCACCTAGTCATTCGACAAACATTCAGTAACTCCCAAAACAACAGGCCAGGCAGTTTAGGCTTGGGGAAGATATCAGGGGGTGGTTGAGGAAAGAGGAAGGGGGAACGTAGAATCAGGTAAGTGTCCTGCCCTCCATAAATACAGAGTAGGAGAGTGTGTGCATGCACATGCACACAACTATACCCCAATGAAGAGAGTGCTAAATGCCTTATGGCAACATGGATAAGGAGGTCAGGAGATAGATGGGGGAGGAGGCCATCAGCAGAAGTTTCATGGAAGAGAAAGAACTTGAGCTGCGACTCAAAGGATAGAGGACACGTGGACCTGTGAAATGTGGGGAAGGTCTGCCCAGGAAGAAGGGACACTGAGAAGCGGGTGCGGTGAAGTGACAAGGGGTATGCAGACAAGAGCAAGGAACTCGAGCGGGTGTGTGTTTTCAAGGGGGTGTTACTGCAATACTTTCGGGGCAAGTTTTTGCTGTGTCGGTCTGTCCCTTATAAAGTAGGTCTTGTAGCATCCCTGCCACTCCCCTCCCCTGCCCTCCTGCCGGTAGCAACTGCCCCTTTCCTTGCATTTTCAAACAACACTCCCCACCCCGTGGGAACCACTAGGTAGTGAGGCCAAGGCAAACAGTAAAACGTAAAGTTGGACCAGAAAGGTAGTGAGCGAGGGTTTTCAGGAGGGAGGGGATGAGATCTGTTTTAGGAAAATGAAGTCTGGAGGGGTGTGCAGGATGAACGGAAGGCCTGGGAGAGGCAGGGAAATAGGTTACAGCCTCCGCAAGCCTCTCACCCAGGTTGTTTTCACGTGGCTGGGCTGCCTGTCCCACAATGACTGGCAGACGGCAAAGGTCACGGGGAGGTCCTAACTGCGTGTCCCCCCAGCTGATTGCTGGAATGGCCTAGGAGAACAGCATTTGCTAAGTCAGGATTTGACTAATATTCCATTGTCTTTCCTTGTCTTTCAATTCAACCCACCTGGGGATGACCAAACACAGCTCCTCCCCCATCCATCCACACTGGCAGGATTGGTGTAAAACTAGCTGAAGTAAGGAAAATGGCGACCCTTTGAGGGTTTTTCTCTCTCCTCCCTGTCCAAGGTCCACTGCTTTCTTAGTGAGCGACCCCTCAGAGCCCAAACAAGGGAACTATTCAGCCTGACCAAAGGAGACAGGGGGGAGAGTCCCTGTTCTGTGCCTTCCCTGGCCAGGACAGGACACAGCTTTTGATCCAAGGCCCAGAGAATCCCGAGCTGATAAAGGCCCATTGTGGCAGTTTCTGGAGAAACCCAGAGGCCGTGAGGGGACTCTGGGCTCAGCAACCAGTTAACAGCCCTTGAACATTTGTGAAAAGAATTACTTGGCGGAAATCAAGGCAGAATGAGGCCCCCGGCTGTCACTGGCACCATCCGTGGCAGGCAGGCTAAAGGCAAACCCAGCAGGAGCCTGGCCTGCCTGCTGCTGAAGGGGCTGCCCTGAGTCAGTCGGAACCCAGGAGCTGTGGAGGGCTCCCCTACAGACACCTATGAAACCCAATCTCCGCCAAAAGCACGAAACACAACTGCTCTTTTAAAAAGGGCCTGGGGAAGAGGAGCCTCTCGCCCCCCCAGCCCCCGGAGGGTGTCCAAAGCAATAATAACCAGCAGGAAAGGAGGACGGCGGCAGAGGGGAAGCCGGTCTGGAAGCCATTTAGGAATTACGCGCTTTCTGCTCCAGTCTTTAAGGCGCTTTGTGGGTCCAGGCACCTCATCATTTGCAGGCCTCACTATTCTTGCAGCAAAAAAAAAAACGTAGGAAGAGAGCTCCTGAGATAAATGATGCCGGGGAGGTGGTGGGCAGACGGGCTAGATGGGAGGCTCAGGGGACTATCAACCAGATTGAGGCTTTGGTGGGAGGTTTGAGGTTCAGCCGGCGGTCAGGAGCCCATCGCACACTTGTCTGCACGTTCACGGGAGGATGGGAAGGGACCAGATCTCTGCCGAAAGGCCCTGGGAGGAGTGCAGGGATGGGAGAACTCAGTCCACAGTCCCACCCCAGATCTATGCATCAGTCCCTGCCTTTCCCAGCTGACAGCTGATCCTGACACTGTGGGAGAGGAAATGCAGAATCTGAGGTCAGAGACCAGCCTGCAGAGTGCTCTTACAGACCGCTCTCCTTGGCCAGGTGGTGAGCCCGGGGATTAAACGGAGAGCAGGGGTTAACACAGTCAACGTGAGTGCTCACAGCTCATCGCTGTTTCCGTTTTGTTCCTAATAGGATCTGAGGTGGACGAGTGGCATAGTTCGTCTGGGTCCGCTTTCCCTCCCCACCATCCAACATGCGTAAACTTGGCCCGGTCAAATGCCAAGTGACTTCCACGTCAAAGCAAAGCAGAATAAGCAACATAAACCCACAGCAGGGCAGCCGAAGCCATCTAATGCATATAAAAATCAAAGCAGAGGGCACTGAGGGCTATCGCACACGTGTATTTTACGTCAATTGCTTCCCTCCCATCAGGAGAAAGTACTGCTGACAGTTGGTGGGCAGTCAGGAGCAGTGGTAAAGCCGCGGAGGAAAGTGAACTAACTCCTAGTCACCCTCGCCTCGGAAGAGTCCATCTCCGACAAACCTCACCTGATACGAGGCAGATTCGCTTCAGGCTGCGGATGGATCTGGAACGCAGCACAAAGTGTTTTCTGAAACCAAAGCATTTTCTGCCTTGCTGGAGATTCTGTCCCAGCTGGCGATACAAACATGTACACACAACAACTGCTGGAATGCTCTGTTCTGATCCCACGGCTCTCACAAACAAAAAAAACAAACCTCAAAGACTGAGCTGGAAGGTCTGGGTGTCATTTATTGACAGCAGTTTACACACATTTTTCTTCCCATGGTTGTTTCCTCAAAGCACAGGCACAGAACCCTCTAGAAGGGCAGTCTCTGAACGAGGGAGCAGGAACGCAGGATGCACACGTCTTTGGCAGGCATGTTCAGCCCCGGCAGGATGCAATCCTTCAAGCTGGAATTCCACCGGGTATTTGAGACACCAAGGTGGGGGTAGAGAGGAAGTCTCCAGCAGGACTCAGATCGTGGTCCAGGCCCGCTCTCTCTATCCAAGTCCATCCCAGCTTTCAGACCCTGGGGGGGCAGCCAGTCAGGCCCACCCACCTTCACAGGGGCAGCTTCTTCAATCCACGCCCTGTTCGTACACACCTGCTTCCGCTGGCCCCACAGTTAGAGATTGAGCCTGATGGTAAGAGACAGACCACTTCCTCTCCGACCCTCCCCAGCACCTCACTTCAGCTGGGTCTGTGCAGGAACCGCTGGAGAACCCTGAGTGAGGCCTGCAGTCTCAGCTCAGCTGCCTGGGCCGTCTTCCTTACGTCTTGAATAAATGATAGTTTGGAGGCTACAGGTTTACTTGGCCAACAACTGTGCTCCCCAGCCCGTCACGCACATGGCCCTGCCTTTCTTCTGCCAAAGTGCCAGTACCTCGGCTGGAGCTCCAGCAGGCCCTGGAGACAGGAGCCAAGCTGGTCTGCGTAGGCACTTGGCAATTTTGGGGAGGGAGGCGGATAAAAAGTTGGATGGAAATGAGAAGAATGAAAGAGCTCTATCTGATAATTAGAGATCTGAAGTGACTTTGCTTTTATTTCCTTCACTTTAAGCCAATCATGAAACTTCACAGTGATTTCTGGGGTGGGGGGCAGAAGGAAGGTGGTGCTAAGAATCATCGGGGCTGTGGCCCAAGGAGGTGCAGGCAGGGCAAGCCTCACTGGGGCAGCTGGAGGAGCACTGACTGCCCGGAAGGCAGGTAGGTGATGTTCCGAGAGCGCGACAGCTGGTACGCGATGTCCTCGGCGGCTTCCAGCTTGCGCAGCTCGATCAGGCCGTCGCCCGCAGTGGCGAGCGAGTTGGCGATCAGCTCGGCTGCCTTGGAGTCACCCTCAGCAGAGATGATGGCCGCCTTCTTCTGCTGCTCAGCCTAAGAACGGACGTGGAGAGAGACCAAGATCACACCTCAGGGCGTGGGATGGCAGGCTACAGCCTCCAAGGCCCAGGTGAGGCACCTTCTTTGGTTCCTGAAGGCGCTGCGGGAATTTACCGCCTCCACTGGGTGGGGTCAACAAGCACCGCCTACCCAATCCTCCTCTGTACTGTAGCGCCCACGTCTCACCACTGGAGGGATACATTTCTGTTGGCTGCATAAATATCTGTCTTATTCCAAAGTCCTCATTAATATTAATAGCAATCTAGACTGGCCACCCTACTCTGAGCCAGGAAAACAGGAGAGAAGGAAAGGCAGAATCAATCCTCCAGCTCATCTTTCCCACCAGTCCCAAGTCAAAGTGACTTTCATGAAAACCAGCACAGCTAAGAAGGAGCAGCAGGCACTTCCTAGAGTCACATCTGTGAGTTGAACTGGTTCCCAACCAGGAACCCAGCCACCCAGAACCAACTCTCCTGGGCCTTCCCTACCCGCATCACGAGCACGACATCTATCTGCAACGCATGACCTTCAGAAGTGCAGGAGGAGACAGTACCAAGCCCTTCTGAAATTAACAGTTTTGAAACTGCCGGGCTCTGTGACTCTTCGCTCAACAAACATTACTGAGCACCTGGGATCCTCAGGCACAGTCTTAGATATGTTCTAGGCTCCAGAGAAAAGCAGAAAAAAGTAAGAAAAGTCCCCGCCCATACGGAGTTTACATTCTCTAGAATTAAATGTTGGTCAGCCATGTGTCCCTCTTTTCCCTGATTCCAAGGTCTAAGGGGTCTTGGATCAGGAATGCTACCCCGAGACATTGAGTGGTGGGAGAAGGGGACAGCAAGAAGTAAATACACCTTTGTTAAGACCTGAAGACCAGGCTGCTATGCAAATATATTGTGTCCCACTGCACTCTGACACATCTGGATGGATTTAATGCTTGAAAAAACGCCAGTGACGATAGCGCATCTGGTGCAATGTTTGATCCTTCCTGCTGACAGCTTTCACTGTGTAACCCCGGTTAAAAATGGCCTCTCGGTGAAGCTGAAAATATTGCAGGAGAAACATTTTTATTTGTAGCAGAGTGTTTTTGATCTTAGCGAAGTAGAAAAAAAATGACCCTTCAGCGATTTAGGAACATAACTTCACATATCCCTGGACTAGCCCCCAAAGACTCTGGAACCAATTGCAGGAGTGCGGTCCCTTCAATCCCCTTCCAATGATCCCGGAAGAAGAGATGACAGATGATGAATTTCCAGGCCACCCAGCAAACGGGGAGGCTGAGCACAGGAGAGAGGGGAGGAGGCTCCTGCCATCTGGTTGAGCGCTCACCTTCTCCACCACAAATCTGGCCCTCTCCGCTTCCTGCTGAGCCACCTGTTTGGCTTCTACCGCTTCTGTGAACTCCTTCCCGAAGGTCAGATGTGTCTAAGGGGAGAGAGGGAGCGCGAGATGAGGCAGTGTAATTGCTTAGACAGCGCTGCTGTGAGGCCTCCACGGCCGCTGAAAGGAAGAGGCCAGGAATGGCTCTAGCAGCTGGAGGCACCGTGGAGCCAGGACACCCTTCCACCTCTCTATCTTTGTCCAAACTGAGTTCATACCCTGGACTCCTCGGCTGCCCAGATTGCTCCTGTACCGCATTCTGTCACCCTCAGTGTGACGATCTCAAGTAGAAAACACCCCAAAGGCACCAGAAGGTATCTACTGGACTGACCACCTTCCTAGGGGAGCAGACCTATGGGTTCGAGGACCCCCACTGACTAGCGCTCTTCCAAGGTCCTTTGATGGCCTGTTTGCAGCCTCCGGGGAGGCCAGATGGAAAACTGAGCCCCTGAGAGTGGGGGAGGCAGCTGGTTCTCAGGGATTCACGAGCGTGACGCTCTCTGCTTATGGAATAACCAGTCCACTTCTTTCTCACATACCTCCAGCACAGAGCAGGAAGAGGAGGAGAGAGAAGGTGGAACGCACATCATGGTATTCCCTATGTGTGAGTGCTTCTGGAAAAGGGTTTAAAAGAAACAGAAGGCAGGTAAAGCTATTGCTTAGGGAGAGGGTTTAAAATTCTGATTACCCACAGACTTTCCCTAATAACATAAATAACTGAGACTTGGCTGAAGTGACTGTCTCTAATGACAGTGCAAATAATGGGAACAGATCTCAGAGCTCCTAATAGCCTGGTCTACAGTAATTTACTTCTTCATCCAACTTTTTATTAAATAGGAAGAAACAAAGGGAAGAACAGTGTTGGTTTTGCTATCAAATTCTACTTGTTTTACGTCCTTCACCCTTTCAATCTCTGCTTTTTTTTTTTGTTTAATATAAGGAGCTCAAAACTTCTCCTAAAAAGTAAATCCTAGTCCCACTGTCTTCTAGAGTTTTTAACACTCCTAATTCTTAAACTATAGCTGTCTTACTTTGCCCGCTCCATTCCTGGACTCTTGTTCAAAGTCTGGGGAAGAAAACACAATCTTGAGAAACGAAAAACGAAACGTGGAATTAAGGAATAAAATTTCTTTCTAAAAGGGCCAGCTGAGGGCAGCAAATTCTCCATGAAATCTAATTTTCTCCTCACACCTCTTAGATATGGTTTCTTGTGGTCAGCCCACATTTCCCCAGAATGGAGTATGTGGTTAAAGTCTAGCAAAATGCCAAGCTTCTCCTTAGGTTTTTACTTAGTATTTTCTCACGGCCAAGGTGTTCAGGTCAACAGTAAGCTGGAGAGCCTGAGGAACGGCTCTTGTCAGGGGAGCGCAAAGGCTGCAGCCCGGCGTCTTGCCAGCAGAGGGAGCCCGCAGGCACTTCCAGGGCGGGCAATGCTGCAAGGTGGAGCAGTGCCCTCAGGTTTGCGCCGGCTGTGGCAAAGCGTGACTGTTTAAACAGCTGCACAGATGCTGACGGCAAAATGGTGCCTTTCCCTAGCAATGCACAGGAGAGCTAAACAGGAAACACGACCTCACTACCCGAACAAATCACTCCAAATGATTTTTCCCAGAGAATCTAGAAACACGACCCCTTTCCCTCACCCACCTCGATCTGAAATGCTATCCCGCCTGTATTGCTTTCTGTCTGAGTTATGGCATTCAATGCCCTATAAATACACAGCCTATACAGTCTCAAGAGGATAGCTTACACCTCAGAGATGTCCCCTGCCCCCCATACCAGGCTTTGAGGAATAGAACCATTCACTTACACTCTATCATCTTTCATTGGGGGTCCCCAGAGCTCCCTTCACTGAGCTTCAGCCCCTAAGTGTTAGGAAACGCCCAGGGATCAGGCTGGGAGGTCGGCACTAGGGAGAAAGACTAGCCGAGCTGTTCTCTAGTCTCCACCAGGCAGTTTCTTCCTGTGTCAAATGGTTAACAAGACATCACTTCCGGGGGAGCTCGGGGAAACAGTTTCGGGAAGGTGAAAAATCTAGTGGTTAGGGATCATCTGGGTAGGGCCGGAAGTCAAAAGAAAAATGTGTGTGGTACAGGGAAGGTAAAAGAACCCTCATCTGAAAACAAACCCAAGGAGACTGCCTCATACCGTCAAGAAGTTTCCATGTTTTCATGTCTCACATCTAGGAAAGTCAAGTCCTAAGAACGCAGGACCAAACAGTGTCTACCCAGAAATGGAGCCAGGCACCGAAACAAGAACCACAGCCCCTTCCCCACAGGCTCCCCAAGGATCTTACCAAGGACACGTCATCCAGGATGAGCCCAAAGGTTGCTGCTCGCTCCGTAAGGTCATCGCTCACCTGCCTGGAGACCAGCTCTCTCTGGGTGATGAGTTCTCCAGCATCAAAGCGAGCCTGGCTCCAAGGGAGGGCGGAGGAGCTGGTTAGCATGAGGAAGCAGAAAGGGAACCAGGAAACTACGAGCGACATCCCAACCATCCACTGCCAAGCTCTCCCGCCTAGCGATCTCATGGGGGCGGTGCTCTAGGCCGGAGGCTGAGGCCCTGTTCACTCACCACCACTGACTTGAGGATCTCTGTAGTGATGGATGGCAGCACGCGCTCGTCATAGTCCTCTCCGATGCTGGTGAAGATGCGGGGAAGCTGGCTGGCAACTGGCCGGAAAAGGATGCGCAGGGTGATGTTGACATTCTGTAAATCTTAGCGTGGGAGACAGACAAATGCTGGAGTTAAAAATAAAAAGCCCAGGGGGGAAACAAGTGGCCTTTTATATCACCTCTCCTACTCTCAATTTGCTATAATTTATAGGTAAAGCTGCTGATTTTAAGACCCTAGAAGGCAAGGAGCACACACACATGGTTTCATTGGTCGAGAACCAAGCACAGCACTAGAGGTAGGAACTTCTCAAAGGCTTCTGGTCATGGCAGCTTTTCAGTACGTCCTGAATGCCCTCTAATATAAGCAATTCAGATTATAAGTCTAACAGGTGCTGTGAGATGTTTGGAACACTGAAGATTTTAAGAAAACAGGCCAGTGCCAAGAATTCTGGGGTGAGGCCTTTGCAAGGCCTGCTGACTGTGGCCCACGTCAGGGGTCTGCCTTGGAGAGATTATCACGGGGCCGAGGGAAGGGTCCACCCTGGACTCACCAGCAGTCCCACTCTCCCGTTTACTAATCACGTGGCCTCAGCCAGCCTTAGCCAATCTCAGCTGCTCCCTCGTCTGTAAGAACAGGGACGATTTCACCTGCCTTCCAGGGAAACCGAAGGAGAAAACAAGATACAAAAGCGCTCCGTCGAATGCACACCAGCCGTAAGGGGTTCTTCCTACACAGCCCCGTCGAAGGACCCCGGGAGGGGATGACAACTTCCCCTGACAAGTCCTGTCTGCTTGGAGCTAAAGCACTGTCACAGCCTGCTTGCAGTCACCAACAATGTGGACCGTGGCCTGGGAGATGGTCCGGAGCCAGCACAAGAGCAGTGGGAATGGACCACCCAAGGCTCTGATCTCTGGAAGTTCTTACCAATAGTCTTGAAGACGGGTATGTAACGTAACCTTAGGACAAATGTAAAACAGCAGAGAAAGAAATCCAAAAGAGGTGAGGAGTTTAGAACTAGGTTTTTAAGATTTTGTTTCTCGGTGAACTGCACCCCACCTTTGATTTCCTCTGTTGTAGTAGGCAGGCCAGACTCCTTCTGGGAGGCTCCTTCCTTGCCCAGCCAGTAGCTACAGAGTAGATGATGCAAGACCAATTTACCCTTCCCCCTCCTCTGTCCAACACACTTCTCACTCCAAAGTCCCAGCTGACTACTAAGTTCCTTGCAGGAGCCTGCCCAGCCGCTCGTGGGAGCTGGCTGCTCTCTTCTCTGCTCCCCTACGCTCTGCCACCTTGGCTTCAAGGCTCACCACACTCGACTCTAACTGCTTGTTCACACGTCTATCACTCTAGCTAGCCTGAGCTCCCAAAGGCCCCTGCTTAGGTCACCTTCGAATTATCCCCACCCTCTGGCACAGCACAAAGCCGGGCATGCTGACAGTCAGTAAACATCTGCTGAGGAACAGCACTGAAGACATCGAGGGTTACCCAGATGATAAACCAACATCCACACGACCCTCTGCTCTTGCTGCACAGAAATGTCACTGCTGAGCCAACATCTGCTATTCCATTTACTGCCCGTGCCCCTCTTAGAGCAGGATGGAGAACAGTGAGAGCTATTCATTTCAGGCTCCAACTGGAAATCCAGTGGCACGTCAGACACCAGGAGACTGCTCCCAGGTACGTGGGCCTCAGCCTGTGAGATAACAATGTGAGGTCGTCATTGCTGGAAACAGAGGCAAAGGTTAAGTCAGCCATGAAGGCAAACGGAATGGCTAGAGATCCGTTTATATGGCCACTCTGGGGAAGAAGAACCAATGGGAAGGGTCAACTGAGGGAGCAAAGGCACATGTACATTTCTCTAAAATTGGATCACCGGGGCCAGCCCGGCAGCGCAGCGGTTAAGTCCACACGTTCCACTTCTCGGCGGCCCGGGGTTTGCTGGTTCAGATCCTGGGTGCAGACATGGCGCCGCTTGGCAATAAGCCATGCTGTGGTAGGCATCCCACGTATAAAGTAGAGGAAGATGGCCACGGATGTTAGCTCAGGGCCAGTCTTCCTCAGTAAAAAGAGGAGGATTGGCAGTACTTAGCTCAGGGCTGATCTGCCTCAAAAAAAAAAAAAAAATTGGATCACCATGTAACTCTTGAAATATACCTTTTGTATTTCTCTAAATTTGTACTGTTGTTTGTGTGTGTACTTTAAGTATATATTTCTTTTTTTTTAACACCTGAGCTTACATCTGTTGCCAATCTTTTTTTTTTTTCCTTCTTCCAAAGTCCCCCAGTACATAGTTGTATATTCTAGTTGTAGGTCCCTCTGGTTGTGCTGTGTGGGACGCCACCTCAGCGCAGCCTGATGAGCGGTGCTAGGTCCACGCCCAGGATCGAAACCAGGGAAACCCTGGGCCACCGAAGCGGAGTGCGCGAACTTAACCACTCGGCCACAGGGGTGGCCCCTAAGTGTACATTCCTATAAACCCATATAAAACCCTCCAGGAAAAACATGCTAGGAAGTCTTATTATGTGAAGTTCAATCTCTTCCAGATCCCACAGCGCCCCTTCCACACTCTACTTTACCTGACCCCCAGGCAGGACTCACCTTTGCTACCAGTGATTACTGGCACGTTACGTGGTCGAGAGCGGCAGTCAAAGATAATTGGTTTCTGTACCCAAGGGATGAGAAAGTGAGTCCCTTCCCCTACCACAATGTCTTGCACTCCACGGAACCGGTCAAAGATGACAGCTCTGTGCCCAGCATCAACTAGGAATGAAGGATAATGACGGGTCAGGAAAACCCCCTCGCCCTTTAACCAGAAGGACTGTGTCTTCGAAAGACCCCTGGTGCTTTCTGTTCATTTATTAAGTCCCCCTGTCTTGCTCTGTCTTCCCAAACTTCTGGTCTCTAGAAGCTTCTAAAGAGCTACAAAACTAAGCAATCACTTCCTATTCCATGTGTCTTCCCAAGGACTTCAATTATAGATCATCCTCAGCGTCCTTTCTCCTTGAAACAACTGGCTGCCGGTTTTCTGATTAACCACCCCGTCCCCAAACTCCCACCATTATAGTTCCTGGAATCACCTCCCAAAACTGAGCAAAGTCTTCACTGTGACTGCATGCCACCCCGGTTCCAATTTAACCCAGTGTTCCCAGAAGCAGCACTCTCACTAGGCGAATCCTAAAACTTGGAAGGTCCCACTCTTTCCTTCAAATAGCTTGGTTTCTCTAAGGTTTTAAGGGCTTAGAGAGTTGTCTTGTTGGTTCAGAGAGAACTTAGTGATGGTGATTACTGTCTAGCTGTGCAAGGGTAGCCAAAAAGATCAGAACACGGAACTGCGCCATATAAGCCAAGGCTTTTCTGATCAGCTGTTTCTGCCTCTGCCATTTTGGACTTTAAAATTGGTCCAAATATCTTCCCTCTGGAAGTACTCCTCCTCTTATCAGCCAGTCACACACGAGGTGGGTCAATGCACTGCTGCTTTCCAAGAGGGAAAGTCAGGGACTATCAGAGCTGGAGGGGGTCTCAGAGATGAACCAGGTCAGTTGCATTTCTTGACCAATGAGGAAGCTGAGCCCTAGGGAGGGGGAAGTGACTTGCCTAAGGTCACACAGGAAAGTGGGAAAAAAGCCAGCTTAAACCCCTGCCACACTGTTAAAAGCTGGGCAATGTATCTCAAAGATATTTTTCTGGAATGACCAGACTGCGGCAGAGGAAAAGCTCCTGCTGAGGACAAGGTCACCGACAGTCTAAAGCCCTTGCTGAGTCCACGCACAGGCAGAAGGGAACAAAGGAGACCTCCCTTCCAGCCAGCCCATGAAACCCCACACTCTGCTGAAGCACTCGAGTGGTGTAGCATCACTTCAAATTAGCAAGAGCACCTGGAAACATCCAATGGCAACTGGGCTCAGAGGCGCTTTGTGAATAAAGGCTCTGAGCGAACCTATGGCTACAAGGACAGAGGTCTAATGACAATGCAACCACATGGTGTGGGATGGCAGCAGGTGAGCCCTCTCGGGCACAAACACATTCACAGACAGCGGCTGCCATCAGGAGTGTCACATGGGCTGTGCAGACCAACAGACATCCTCCAGCAACGGGCAGAGACCCACCACCCCTCAGGGCCTCACCATTGTACAAAGCAGAGTTCACCACGCCTCCCGCAATGGCTAAGGCCAGGCCGAACTTGCCGATGGACTCAAACACTTTGGCAGCCATGTCTCCTTCTGCTGGACCCACTCACACCTAAGGGGGTAAAAACAAAAACAAAAGAACTTGATCCCAAAATCCTCAGAGAAAGCTATGTGTGAGGCATATTCACCTCTCAAGCTGGCTATTCATTCCCCACTCTGGAGTTCTAAACCATCCACTCAAGGACACCTACTAAATGACACTCCACAGCTTGGAAAAGGGTAGTACCAACTCCTCTGCTTGTTTCTTTTTCCATTTCTTTCTTCTTTTTCTACTACTTAAGAAAAGGGGTCTGGGGCACTTGGTTCAATAATGTGAATGAGGCACGGGCTTCATACCCAAGAAGAACTCAGTACCACACGAACCCACGCTCCCATTTCCTAGACAACCAGGCCGCAAGACAGAGGCTGTGTGGTTGGTCCTTCGCAATTTTGGTTTGGAAAAATAACTCAAAGAATGTGCTACATGGTAATTCCAACAGCAAAAATAACAATAACAGCTCATCTTTATACCTCGCAGTCTTCTAACAGCAATTTATTTAATCCTCACACTAACCCCTATGAAGTAGACTAATACAGATGAGGAAACTGATGTACACAGAGAAGTTACATGAAGAGCCCAAGATCACATAGCTATTAAGTGGTAGAACCAGAATTAGAACCTAGATGTCTAATTCTAGAAGGCACAACTTAAATCATCATCCTGCTTCTCAACATCAGGTATTAAGAATGACCTGTTATCATGGAAGCAGGAGCTAGATGACATTCTGGGATCAAGATAGCTGAAGAAGCAATTGGGCAGAAAGGCTCTAAACAGCTGCGCTGCGCGGGAGAGCCCTGGAAGGAGAGGGTGGGGTGGAGAGGGGGTGGCGGGAGCAAGGCTGACCCAACCAGAATCTACTCCAGCACTTAACTTTTTAATGCCCCGCCCACCGTCGTCCACGTCAGTTTCAACTCCTGAGACTACCTTGACCTCTCCCGGTTCATTTAAATGTTCCTTTCTCGAGGTCAGGACGCCCAAGTCCTGACCCGCCGGCCTTTCCATTTCTAACAGCTTCTGCATTATTCCTCACCCTGCCCCCAAACACCCCTCCCTTACTCTACGCAACCCCTGGCTCGTCCCGGGCTCACCCCCTTTCCCCTCCGACACGAGGCGGACCCACGCACGCACCCCGCCAGCCCAGATCACGAATATGGGTGCAGAGACGCCCGGACGCGCGTCGCAGGCGCTCCCCTGCATTCTCACCTGCTTCCACACTGACCTCCACATGAATTCCCCAGCCTCACATACTGCGCATGCGCTGGCAGCTCCGTCTCTTCCCCGCCCTCCTTCCAAGATTCGCGCCTCTGATTGGCGAGGAAGAGCGCGGTGCGTTCTGGGAAGGGTGGCTTGCAGCCTGGCCTGGCTTCTCCCGTTCCTCACAGAGGAACTACAATTCCCAAAGAGCCGTGCAGCGGCTGGCCCGCGCTGAAAAGGCTTTTCTCTTTGGTGGTAGACGCCGAGATGTTGCCGCAAAGCCTTTTGGGGGCTGTAGTTCCTTGGGGGATAAATGCACGTGCCCATCCTGAACCGATGCTACAGCCTGCGGAGGATGGGCCGGATGGCACTCGGGAAGAGTGGCAGGGACAAGTTTACGGGTGATGAAAGAGGTTGTATGGGCACCCTGGGGAAAGTTGTGAAATAACTGGTGGGCTGAGAGATCTTGAGGGAAGTCGAGGGACCGTCTTCTTTCCAAAGCTCTGTCTGCGAATGTCCTGAGTCAGACGTTGCTTGCCAGAGCTAGAGAGAACCTTAGAAACCATGTGGACTAGAAAACTGAGGCCCAGAGAGAGGAGGGGATTCATTCAGGGTCATGCGTCGATTTAACAAAGGGTCTCGGCTTAGAGTCCGGGTCCGCTGGACACAATTTTTTTAAAAAGTCTTATTGGGAAAAGTTGCAAGAATAGTGCAAAAAACACGCGTATCCTTTACTCAAATTAATTTATTGCTAACAATCTCCCCCTCTTTCTCTCTCTATTTTCTAAGAATAAGGACATTCTTTTATATGACTAGAGTAAGTTTACCCTCTGCTTTCCAATTTTGTCCATTGACCCAATAATGAACTTTATAGCAATCTCCACCCTCCCCCATACAAGATGCAGTCTAAGATTAGGCACTGTATTTATTTTTCATGTCTCTTTAGTCTCCTTTAATCTGAAAATTGTCCTCAGCCTTCCCTGTCTTTTATTACATTAAAACAAAACCAAAAAGAATGTTTCTCATTTTGAGTTTGTCTGATGTTTCCTCATGATTAAATTCAGGCTCTGCATTCTTAGCTGGGGCATTACCTAACTGGTGTATGGACACAATTCTAACAAAACCAGGCCCATTTCTGGATTCTAGTAGGATTGGATTCTTTCAATTTCTTTTTCCTGCATTTCCCCTCCTCCTCTCTGTCCCCCTTCTTTGTCCCCACTTGGCACAATCAAACGATCAGAGATATCCATGGCAGTACTCTTCAGGTGGTAAGAGCTTGCCCTAACCAACCACAATTTTTTCCCCTGACTACTATGATGCAAGCTCTATGAGACTGAAAGTTTAGTCTGCTTTCTTCATTGTTCTATTCCCAGAACATACAACAGTGCTTGGCACACAGTGGGCACTCAGTCAGTATTTGTTGAATGAATGAATAATGAAGGGCGTTGAAGTGGCTGGTTAGGCTGTGGCCGGGAAACACAAGCCAGGCTGCTCCAGAATCCTGCAAGAATAGCCTTAGTCTTGTCTGCTTCTATTCTAATATCACTAGCAGGAATGCTGAAAATATTAGAAGAAATCAACTTTTGTATAGTGTTTTATAATCTTCAAGTCTGTATACCTACAGCATCCCACTTGCACATCATTACAGCCCATTATCCCTGTTACACAGATAAGGAAGTTGTGGTTCAGAGGTTAAATGGCTTGCTCAGGGTCACTCATCTAGTCAGAGCAAGACTGGACTAGAACACAGGTCTTCAGGGTCTAAGCCTTGTATTCTTTCCACTTGCCCATATCGTGCCCTGGGAAGCAAAGGCAATGGGAAAGCTCACGTGACGTGAGGGCATCATGTGGACCTGGGCTGGTTATAGGTGGAGAGATGGGGCGGATGAAGGATAAGGACACTGAGGAGGGTATTTGGGAATAATTTAATTGTGGTGAAACAAAGATTAGGGACAGAGTCGCATCAGTGCAGCAGCTTTAGGAGTGGATCCGAATCGCTGCTACATAGAGCACGCTCCCCTTCAGCCCGTGTCCCCGGCCAGACGTGCACATGGAGAATAAGAACAAATATGTCTTGAACACCGACTGTGGACCAGTTGCTTCATAAATATATAACCTTATTCAGCCCTATTTTCATATCCATTTTGGAAATGAAGAAATGGAGATTCAGAGAAGTCAAGTAACTTGCTTGAAGTCACACAGCTGATAAATGGCAGATATATGTCTGATACCATAGCCTGTGCTTTTCCAAGCTGTGGGAATGGGTGATCTGAAAGGCATACCCAAAGACTGATTCTGCTTCCTAGTTCAACGCCAAAATGGGAGGAGTGGTAATTAAAGCAAACAATTAGACAAGAATATCTCCATTTCTTCACTCATTTAACACACATATATTGGAGGCCTGTCATGCCCCAGACATCGTGCTAGACAATGGGGATACAGTGACGAAGAACGTGGAGAAGAGCCCTGTCCTCATGGAGTTTACATTCTGGGGTGAGGGGAGGGTGGCATACAGACAAAGGCAAGTATATACAAAAAAATAAATTGCATGAAATTTTGACTAGCTTCCTGAAGAAAACAAGCAGACAATAAGAGGCGGTGTGACCCAGTCAGGAAGGGCTTTGACTGGAAGAACAGAAAGGTGGACTCAATTGGATTAAACAAAAAGAATATACCTTATTTCAAATAACAAGTCCCACAGTAGGGCAGTTCTGGGGTTGGTTACTTTAGTGGCTCACCAAGGCCATCAATGGTGCAGAGTCTTTCTGTCTTTCAGCTCTGTCATCTTCAGGTGCGGACTTTTGTCCTCACGCATTGTCCTCTCAAGGCCACAGATGACTGCAGAAGGTCCAAACTTGACGTTCCCGCAAAACAATAACCAGAGGCCAGAAGGCAGGAAAAGGGCAAGTCACATCTTGGGTCCCTTTGTTAGAGGTAAAGTTTCCCAGAAGCACCCACCAGATATCCCGTTATGTGCCGTTGGGCAGAATTTTTATCATCTGCCCGTTTTTAGACCAGTCGTTTGCAAAGGAATAAAATTGCCATGTTGGAGCTCAACAAATCAAGAGTCGTCTTCTGGGACTGGGGAAGGGCCTGGCTTCTCCCCAAACCACATGACTGCCTAATACCTTAACAAATCAAAATGGGACTTCTTGTTAGCCAGGAACTGGATGGAAGGGAGAATGGATGTTGGAATTGCACGCAACATCTGCCACAAGGGGTCTATTTTGGACAAGCTGGTCAGAAGGTCTCGTGAGGAGATGACATTTAAGGCAAGATCTAAACAGGTAAGAAGTGGAAGAAGTTGGGTGGGATGGAAGGAGAGCTTTCAGCAGAGGGAATAGCATGTGTGTGACAAGCACAAGGCAAGGAATGACGGATGGATTTGGCTAGTAAAGAGTCAAGGAGCTTTTTTTAGATTCAGACAGTTTATTACTTACATAGACACCAAAAGGAAGAGTGGCCAAAGGTGCCAGCTCCTAGTGGCCCTCAGGTAGGGCAACACTGAAACAAATGGGGCCAGACGACGGCAACACAGATGTTAGGACTCCCAGCTGAACTGTGTCGTTGGAGGGGTGAGACAGAAAGCCTCAGAGCTCCCCACAACCTGGAGGCTATGAGAAACCATCTTATGACAACGTTCCCAGTAGGTACGGAAGTGAGTGAGAAATGGCCTTGTAGAAGCTCCTCAAAAGCCTCCTTTGTGTTCCAGGAGGATCGCAAGGCGTTCTGCCAAGACTTAGATTCCGCTGAGCTTCCAGCCTTGCCTGTGTGGACTATGTGGAGGCGTGTAAGGTTGCCAGAGCGCCATGGTGGAGCCACTTCCCTACAGTGCAAAGACCTTGAGGCAGGTCAGAGCTTGGTATATTGATGGAACCAAGTGAAGATGAAGATGAAGATGAACGTGTCCCAATACATGATAAGTGAATGGCAGAGTTACAGAAGATTACAATAGCGAAATAAGCAAGCGCCAGATGTTGTAGGCCTTGCCAAAAAGTCCTTCAAAGTTTCTGAGCAGAAGAGTGAATAATTCTTCTGTGGGGAAAACAACCAGCCCAAAGGAAAAACCTGCAGATCCTAACAGTTGGAAATCCTCAGTGAAGGAGCCCAGGCAGGTCACCCTAGTGCAATGGTTCTTAAACTTTTTAATCTTTGGACCTCTTCCTATTCTTAAAAGTTATTAAGTACCCCAAAGAGCTTTTAAAATATGGATTATATATATTCAAAATTAATATGAGAAATTTTAAAAATATTTACTCATTTAAAAGTAACAATAATAAACTCATTACATGTTAACATATTTTTTTGAAAAACAACTAGAGTTTCCCAAGCAAAATTATTTAGTGAGAAGTGTGGCATTCTTTTACATTTTTTTCAAATCTCGGATTCTTTATCGATTCTGTTGTGCTATCACAGGTCATATACCCTCTAGAAAACTCTACCGTACACTCAGGAGAGGGTGAGAGTCAAAAAGGTAAATAATGATTTAGTATTATAATGAAAATAATTTTGACTTCAAGTACCCCCTAAAAGGACCCCTCAAGGACCCCAAGGGTTACCTGGACCACATGTGGAGAGGCATAATCTTAGAGTGAAATCTTCTCCAGTAGTGGACAAGCACTCATGCACGTAAAGCTTCCAACCAACTTTTCAGTGCTTGTATTAGCTGGGATGTTAGTTAGAGTAAAGTCTAAGTTGTTGTACCAAGGAGATCCCAAAAGATCCCAAAAGAAGATAGAAATTAATTTCTCTTTGCTCCGCAGATATTTACACACCTAGTTTCTTTTCATTTCATTGGTTTGCCATCCCTGAAAGATTGTCTTCATCTGACCATGGGCCATCTGTGGTCCAGCTTGTGGGAAGGGAAAACAGAGGAAATTCAGGGCAGCAATTTTGGTTTGAGCAAACAAGGCAGAAACAGCACATATGAATTCCACTCCACTTTACTGGTGAAAACTTGGTTACATGACCTCATCTAGTCCCAGAAGAGGCTGGAAAATGTATTCTTTAGCCGGGCAGCCAAGCATCCAGAGAGAAAAGATTTGGGGGCTAACCAGTAGTCTGCAATACCTCACTCTCAAATATGAACCATCAGACAAGTGACCC